TGTCTCACAAAAACAACAAAACAAAAAGCTATAAAGCCCAGAAAGGGTTTTCTTTTAAAGCGGGCTCGAAGTGGATTAGTTCTGCAGTGTAGATGCAGCCACGGTCTCAGAAATTAAAAAGGAAAGGAGGACTGTGCGAGGAACGTCGCCCAATTCGGAGTGTTTTGTCTGACAAACACAACAGGATTTATTAGGAAGCCATTCAGTGCATAATATCCAGGAGGAGCTTTGGCCTTGTTGTGGTTGTTGTTGTGGTTGCTGTTGTTGGGTGCCTTCAAGTCATTTCCTACTTATGGTGGGGTTTTCTTGGCCAGTTTCTTCAGAAGGGGTTTGCCATTGCCATCCTCTGAGGCTGAGAGAGTGTGACCCACCCAAAGTCACCCCCAGTGAGTGAGCCAAATGGGGATTCGAACCCTGGTCTCCTGAGTCCTAGTCGAATGATCAAACCGCTACACCACACGCTTATATTTATATGTATTTATGCTATGTTTTGGGATGTATCAAGTTGTGGTTGTGGTTGTGTGCCTTCAAGTCGTTTCCGATTTAGGGAGACCCTCAGGTGAACCTATCCTGGGTTTTTCTTGGCAAGTTTCTTCATAAGGGGGTTTGCCACTGCAATCCTCTGAAGCTGAGAGAGTGTGACACACCCAGGGCTCTCCAAAATCCAACGCTCCACAACATATATCGAAGTACAATAACATCCAAAATCCACAAAGCAGGGTTACAAACCACACATGCGCAAACTACTGAACATGGTAAAAGATGTAGTCTCAATTATTGTTTGTTTTACAGGCATAAATACACTTTTTAGGCTGCATCATCACAGCACCAGAGCATACCTACTAGGTAATGTAACAACCCTGATTGTAATTATAATTATTTATTTATTATAATTATAAGTAAACATAGTAACAACTTGTCTTGTGTTGTATGTGTGTGTGTGAGTTGTGAAGCAACTAGTGTCGACTCTTCTATCCGTGTGGGTAGGGTATTTCCAAATACAATATAATAATATAATAATACACTAAATATAAATATAATAATATAAATACAACATAATAATATAATATAACAATACACTAAATATAAATATACACTAAGTATAAATATAATAATATAAATACAATATAATGATATAATACAATAATACACT